CTCCAGACTCATTCTTCCCACTGGTCGCACTTTTGCGACTAACTTTCTCAGTTAGTCACACCAGCACATGATTTGGTCGCAATATTTTTATTTTTAGGGATTAATCAATGCATGCTGATGAACTTTTATCATAGTTTATAGTTATATGAAAACGAAGTGGTTAACATTCAACCCCTTCTTTTTCATCAGTATTATTTGTGATTTAAATTTTGTGAACGGGAGTTTCTCTTTTGCTATGTTATAAGCGAATTTGTGATCTTGGTGTCACGTTTTACAAGAAAAGATAATTGTCTGATTTGCTTACATACATCTACACATTTCACTTTTTAAGACTAAAACAAAAGATGGATTCATTGTTATTCTTAATTAAAAAGCATAACAACAATAAAACAGTAAGATACAATGACAAACTAACTTACAAAACGTTTATTAACAAAAATGAATAAGACGAGGCATGGTATAGGCTACACCACATGCTGTATTATATACCGACTAATAAATTACAGAACGTTTAGCAAACACTGAGGAATCAAATAAATAAAAAAGAGAGCTTGCATAGCATAACGTGCTGGGCGGTATACCGGTTCATACCGAATAGCGGTGTTTATTTTTGTTATGATATGAAATTTAAAAATACCGCAATACTAATAATGTCACTTAAACAACATTCGGAACGCGACACTGTTTGAAAGGGGTCCCTTTTCACTGTTGCACTGTGGTGAGGGAACAGCTGTATGTGTTACTAAGCGTGAAAGTTCCGAAACTGAAGCTGTAGAACTAATAGAACATGATGACACAGAAGAACTCATCCCCAATATCCACATTGACCACCACAAATATCCACCGCCCCCTGCTATCAGCTCCCGAGTCTCACACCCTCATGAGCGTGACTTTAGCACTAGATTTAGCAACTTTCAGACCATTTTAGCTGCTTTTTTCCATAGAACGTTCATACTGACAAACCTAGCGACTTTTTTGGATAAACCTTAGCTATGGTTCAGCTAGAAGATTTTGCCAGTGCTGTCCTGCGAACGCAAGGTCTGACTTTCCCGGAGAAGTGTCACCTCTCTCGGCGTCTGTTCTGTGCAGTGAGCGGCAGAGAAGCAGCGCATTCAGTTCGCCCCACCGC